CATTTTGAGGGCATGAATTGTAGGATTTAATATTTGTAGTTATAATCGCCATGTTCCATGGGAGGAATCACATGACAAATCTGGCAAGTTAAAGATAGAAATCTAACAATGGTTGGTTTTTTTGAAATAATTATATTGAATGATGTTAAATTACAGAAACCATCACCATGAATGATACACTCACTGTGCAGTAATAGATTAAACATTAACAGAGCTGCCTTTTCATTTTCCAACATTTAAATCAAATAAGGTAGGTAACAATGGCCCTCTATAGTTATCAGTAGTCTCCTTGGCAACCCCTATTTTGGTGATGTCAGGTTTCCAAGCATAATATAGTCAATGAAACACTAGTGAACCATTCACTGCCAAACAGGAGATGGCAAGATAACAAAATGGAATGGTTACCCACAAAGTTTATAAGAGTTTATTCTTCTTTAACATATTCTAACACAGCATCTCTAAACCTTAGGAAATCCTCTTTTGTGCTGTAAACGTGGCCAGTGAGACGGCACCAGAAACGACCATTCTCTGCATTAACAAGGCATTGAATGTTGTACTTCTCCCACAGATCTCGCATGATGGCGACACTTCCCTCACCAGTCATAGGATGCCTGTCTGTGTATGGGAAACCAATCACAATCATGAATGGTGCCTGCATATCTGCCGGAATGGGTAACCGCTGGGTTTTCCATGCTTTGGTCAGCGTATCAGCTGCCCACTCTATCAAAGGAGTGATATACAAGTACAGAACATCCTGTAAGGAGGGGAAAATACAACAAACATGTAAATTAAACTTAAAATATATAACCAGAAAATGATTGCATGTCGTCAAGGTAACAGGTGTCAAAGCTAGTCATTGATATTCACAATGACAGATCTTCAGTGTCTACCATTTCAAGAATCCTACATCCCAGAATTGCAAAGAAAACACAGGTAAAGTACATGCTCATATTCACTCTATTAGTAGCAAACACTCTTACATAAACAAGTCATTGAAAATGACACAGTTCTCGTTAAATTTTTGAAAGTTCTCTTTGTGCTCGTCATATTAAATCAGAGGGGTTGTCGCGAGCGTGTCCTTGAAACTTGAGTCCCAAGTGGCGTATACAACAGATTGTTTATTTACATCAAAACACATGTTCCGTGTAGTAGTAATATGGCCAAAAATAAAAACAGCAGTTATTCGGCCATCTTTGATCTGATTATGAAACACACTGATATGTATGATGTATGTGCCAATGCCAATACCAATGAAAATAAATTGCGGGAAATATAGTAGTAAGGCCAAAAAGTCAGATGGCTGTCAATCGGCCATCCTTGACCAGATTTTGAAACAAATTGTCATGGACATGCATTCTAACATGTATAAAGTACATGTATGTGCCAAATTTGAATGAAAACTGACAGAGCATGTTCAAGATACCGCATAAAAAAACAAAACAAGATGCCTACCAGTTGACCATCTTTGATCCAATTGCAAAATCATCATGGACATGTATCCTAACATGTATAATCTATGTACCAAGTTTGAATGAAAACTGACAAAGCATGTCCAAAATACAACATTTTCAAAAAACAAGATGGCTGCCAGTGGCCATTTTGAATTGAATCGCTAAACCACTGCATGTGCCTATGTCCCACATAAAGTACTAGGCACATGCAAAGAATGAACGGAATAGGTCCACAGGATTCTGAAATATGACTCTGGACGGACGCACAGACTTCGTCCGAACGGGGACTAATTACGGTGGTGTGTCTATGGCCAAAAAAAAGGCATAGTTGGATGATCCAGTATACAATTGATGGTTTACAGCAGTTGTATTGGAGATGCGCTTTTAATAGAGCAAATACGATATAGACATCTTATTAAAATCTAATTTTTGTTATGCAACAGAACTAAAATAAATTTGAATACAGAACAATCTAAAATAGTCTCCAAGAACTGACTTACAAAATTAAAGAAAATGTGGTGGGACCACTATTGGCAATCAACTGAAAATAAAAGTAGCGTTTAGAAAATAACATAATAAAACTGTCCAATTACGCTATCTATAAAAACAGATTACAGATTTTCATTGTTCACATTAGTTTTATGATGAAAGTAGGCATACATTAAGAAAGATGAGGAATTGGATACAAATAAATCAATAATTATTAAGTACATAATTCAAATACTCACCAAACCCCCTAAGTCATTAATAAATTTGAGTCCTTCCCCAGCAGTTAAATAGACGGTATAATCTCTAGTACCCTGGTAATAGAACTCTTCCCGCCATCCTTTCTGTAGTTATTTGATGTAACCACTGGTTTCACAGTTTTCTGGTGTTTAGGATCAACATAAAGGAAGGCACAACGACCCGACAAACACCATTTGTAAATATTTCCTTTGATAACAAAAATAATAGAAAAATCAAGTGAGTGAAGTGTGGAAGATGAACGTCACTATTTCAGTAAAATAATAAATTATTCAGATAAAGGGTGGTCTTGGCCTT